CGTCCCGACAGGTCTGTTCCTTTCACCTGAAGACGGCCGCTTGCGTTGTGGCCGAAACGTCGTGAGAATTTTATTGTGTTATTTTATTATTTTATTCTCATTCTACGTGACTTTACCGAAAGAACCAAAGAAGATGAATCCTTGCAGCCACGAAAGCTTTAAATCGAAAATTATTATTATTCTCATGATGATGGTGATCATCATGGTGATCATCATGATCACCGCCGGCAGTTGAAAAGAAAGAAAGAAAGATCCCGTAACGTCTCGGAAAACATCGAGCCACGTCCGAGACCCCTGGCCCTGGGCATGAATAGCGGTTATTGTTGAAAGACGCGCGTACGTGTAAAAAAAACAAACGCACGCACCCACGTGGGGTGCTACGGGCGCATTAAACAAACGAGGACAGAAAGAGTGGCTTTGTTTATCGAGGCCACCGCCTCCCCGGTGATTGCACGGCGTGTCGCGCGCCTATCTGCCGGGGCCTGACGTGTGAACACGGCCTTGTAAAGTTGCACGGGCGCTTATCGAGTGTTTGAGCTGCGTTAAAGCGCTATTAGTCATGAGGCCGCAGCACTGGCTGGTGAGAAACATGGAGCACCCTCCCCCCTCCCTTACCCCAACCTAGAGACGTTGCTCCTTTCAGCGGAATCGTCGCGTGTTTGTCCACGTTGCGATATATCGACGGGAGTGTCACGTAGCGTGATGGGTGCACTCATACCATTAGGGGGGCGGGGGGGTTGTGTTTGTGGGGCAGCGACGGTGCAGGGCTTTTAAGCGCACTGCGCTCAGAGAGCCCGACGATTCCCTGCTCGCGACCAATCTGACGAATGTTTGAATCCGTGGTGCTGGGCCTCCCCCTCGGTCGACTCGGCCTCAAATGAGTAGCGAGTGCGGTCTTGGTCACCTACCCAAACAGGTGTGCTGTGCCGGCCTTCGTAGGTGCTCGATAACAACTCGTGCCCACAAAAGTCTACTGAGAGGCTATATAGGGGATCTTTGTCTTTTGTGTTACAGACATCATCATAATCATCGGCAGGCATGATCGATCCACTGCTAGATGAAGGCCTTCCCAAGCCGTCGCCATCTCATATGACCCCTGGCGATGTAACAATCCACCTGGCATAGCAGAGTATACGTACATATGTTTACGAAATCGTATTTGCATACATGCATGCGAAGTGGATATGCATTCTATCATGTTCACAAATAACTCGGTGACTCAAAAATAGCATGCAGGGTTCACAGAGCAACAACAACAAAAATGATTCAATGTCCCTGGCAAATGATTTCCTGAAGAACTAGTTGGACGAAATTACCCAAACATGCGTTTCTTCAAAGTGACAGTAAAACCCCCACTTGTGGTTCACCTGGTGTTGAATGCATAAACTCAGTGAATCATCAGTAGCTGTATACATCGCACGTTAGGTGAGTGTACGACACAGGCACATGTTTACACAACATGCCAAGCATACAGAGCGTGTGAACTCGGTTCAGTGTAATGCAAATAACAAAACTAAATTCAATGATACCATTTGTATGTAATGGTTATATCGTAATTTATTTGTAAAGATGGCATCTACGCTATTCTAATCTCCGTTCATTGTAACTTTGTTTTGTTTTCATCAATATTAGTTTTTATTTCGCACTGATGGCCCCGTGCTGTAGAGAGGTGGCACTCACCAGCAACATCTGGTTAATCGACAATAATTGATTGTTGAGCGCGCCCAACGCTGCTGATGAGCACCAGACATGCCAAAACCGGTTCGCGAAATGTCTGCTTTAAACAAACGCCGTTGGTTAACGCGAGTCTGGAAGGGCCGACTGGCCGGATGGACTTACATTTGTATATTTTAAAACAAATGTTTGACGTGCATCTACTGAACGGAGTATCTAAGTGCTACAATTGACGGTCACGGCATTTATAGACAAACAACACGGCCGTGATGCAGGACTCTCGCGCGCCTACATCGCCGGTGACGTCCACCTCGCAACGAATCTACGACGAAGGCAAAAGCGGTCAGCAACAGGCCCGCGGCTAAAACTGCAGGCGAACGTCGGTCGCGACGTTCGCCCTAGGACGCTCGCTCGTGCAAGAGATGGAGAGATTCACATCATCGCTCGCAAGTCGTTGAACCTCTTTCGCACCGTACTTCGAGTGGCATGGACCTTCAGACTCTTAGCTCACCTCGGGTCTCGGGAGTTATTGAAGCACCGGGCTGTTGCTTAATTCACGTGTGTAACCTACCCCGAAGAAGGGGCATTACCGAAACGTCAAACTATTTTATATATATACGTACATCGAAGCAGTGTTAATGAAGAATGCGATAGATTTGCTGTTTGTTTAATGTGTTCTTGGGCAACACTGCCAAAACGCAGTTGATGATACGTGTGCGTATCCATGGTTAAAAAAAGGGTCATATATATGGTCTGTACATCTATACTTCGCATTGTTAATGTTGTTAGATGTGTTGTGTCTAAAGTATCTACCTTAAGCGTCCAAACATTAGAAACGAAAATAGGATGTATTTACGAAACATAATAAACCTATAACTCATGAGTAAATATAATTATTAATACACACATCATATTTAGCATATTGTTTTCTAACCGTGTAGTATATATGTACGGCATTGCTGAGACGGCGAGAGATGGTGATGGCTGTTTTGGTGAGGCCTTCAACCAGCAGTGGATAGATGATGTCTATTCTTGTCTTGCGCATGATGGAAATGTTCATGAGCTAAATGCCAACATCGTGTATTTTTTTTTAAACGAGTGACAAAATAACGCGCGAATGACCTAGACTCGATTTACGAACACAATGCAACGCTAATCACGATATATCCCTCCATAATCAATGTCAATAACATCTTGTAAATGGGCAGTGTTTGGTCCTGACTCTGCCGATGAGTCCCAGGAATGCCAAGCCCTGCGCAGAGTTTGTCGGGGTTTATATTTTTTTTTTGCGGGACACTTTGCTCGCTTTTTCGTCACTTGCGCGCCATTCTTTGACGCATCCCCGACGCAAGCTCGCCACGCTTACGGACGCGCGCCCCCACGGTCTCGTATCCGTTTCGTGAAATCGTATTGAAATATTTATTTGTGGATATATATATATTTTGCTAATTCTTTCCGAAAGCAAGTGCGGGAACGCTTTCTGCCCCGTTACATTTGCACGTACGGAGCGTCGTGCCGAACGCGCGCTATCACGCCCTTCGTTTATCAACTCGGGGGAGAAAAGTTGTGTGTATTTGTGAATTAGTGATTTACGGAGCTAAGTCAATCAATCTGCTGTTGGGTAAAGGCATATCGATGGTTGGTGGAGGGGGGGGGGGGGTAGCTGTTTGACCACACTTCACCGCGCTGGCAACGTCGTTTTGGCTAAGAAAGTGGGTTTGGTGAGTTCGCCTAGGCCCTGTTTAGATATCACTCGCCACTGCTGTAGATGTGAATCGAACTCAGGTATCCGTGTTCATAGCACGGTGCGCTAACCATGGCACCACCGCGCCTAACACCCCCCTCCCCTCCGGCCCGCAATCCCCACAACTCTCAGAAACCCTTACGCGAATTCGCAGGTGAAGTTGAACAACCGTTTATTTTTTTCAATTCGATCGAAATAATTATGGAACGCGGCGGAAAACGGTAGCTGATTTCTGGCCTTGACAATTCCATCGTAAAAACTCGAGTTGGCACCATTCGCGTGAGCGCGAATTCGTTTTACTCGATCGCTTTTATATTCGCGCGTTCACTAACCACTGATTTCCTGCAAAGGCTCTAAATGGAGTTTTTTTTTTATATGCGCAGTTAGGGTCAGAAACGGGGGGACGGATAGCGAGCGGTGCGAAACTGACGCCTCGAAAACCCACCATCGAGAAAAAGGAAGGATGTCCCTCCGTGATAGGTTTACAACGTTAAATGTGCGATTTGTTTACCGGGAAAGTCTCGCTCAGTCCCACGAAGACTTTGTTTGCTTTTCCCTTCATGAGGGTCCAGCATTGAGATGTTTGGCCGGTTCAATGTGCGCGCGTTTTGGCGTAGAAAGAGCAAGCATCGTGGTTACAGTACTTACTGACAGTAATTACTGACAGTACTTACTGACGTCCTTACTGACAGTACTTACTAACAGTACTTACTGACAGTACTTACTAACAGTACTTACTGACAGTACTTACTAACAGTACTTACTGACAGTACTTACTAACAGTACTTACTGACAGTAATTACTGACAGTACTTACTGACGTCCTTACTAACAGTACTTACTGAGAGTACTTACTGACAGTACTTAATGACGTCCTTTACTATCAGTACTTACTGATAGTACTTACTGAAAATACTTATTAACTTACTGACAGCACTTCTATTGTTTCCCAAATTAACTTATTTTTTTCTTAGAATAAGTTCCGTTTATTCTCATGAAAGCAGTTGGTAAAAAAAAAATCGTTTGGACGGATTGAAATGTTTACGTATTTACAACCATAAAACAAACCCAACATGTACGAACCCCGTTTGCATTTTGTCTCATTAATGCGTTTAGGACGCAGTTGAAACAACCCGCGTCATGTCCATCGCGAGTCACATCAAGGCACGGTCAAATATATCGCGTAGCACCACAGAACAAGGCACCACGAGCGGCAGCGAAAGAGCAACAGTTCCACCCGTGGAAATGTTCTGCAGCTAATCAGAATTTGAAAATAAACCCATCCCTAGTTTGAGTCCAATAACTCACAACGTGACACATTTCTCACACGTTCAAATGAAAACTCGGTGATGGAAATAATTACTCCGAAATGAACAATCCGTTTACGTTAACAACGCACACACGTTGCTTTGCGCGTTCGCAACAACCTGTACCTACACTGCCTTTCAACAGAAGATATCTGACGTTTCGTGCAATGACCTTTCTACTCACTACAGCACGAGCCTACTTCTTCCTCGGCGCGCCACGTCAGGCGCGACACGGCTGCGTCGCGGTGTCGCGGTGTCACGGCGGGTCATGCTTACAGATGCTGGGCGCGGGTTGCACGTTCCTTCGCATCCAGTCGTAGGGGCTTTTGCGCACGCTGTCCGGCGAGCTCTCTTCGCCCTGCGCGCCGCCCATCCCCCCGGACATTACCGGCAGGTACCCAACGTGCACCCCCAGCGAGTGCGCGTGCTGCTGCTGCTGCTGTTGCTGCTGCTGCTGCGGCGCCCCGCTGTAGTCCGTTAGCGGTGGAGAGTACGGGGCGCCCATGTGGCTGGGAGGAGACGGAGTACTTTGCTGCTGCTGCTGCTGTTGGATTATGACCATGGACACCCCCCCGGCTGCCGAGGGAGGCTGCGACGAAGGCTGCGGAGCGGCGGTTGACGGAGGAGGAGGCGGTGGTGCCGGGGATGGTGGCGGCGCGACTCCCTGTCCCGCCAGCGAGTAGCCCGTCCACACGTCCTCCCGGCCGGACGCGTACGGCGAGTGCCAGCTCGGCTTGGGCGGCGGAGGGTGGTGAGAGGAGTGGTGAGAGTGGTGCGGGTGGTGGTGGTGCGGGTGGTGGTGCGGGTGATGAGAGTGCGTCCCGTGCACTCCGCTCGCGTCCGGCACGGCATGGTGATGGTGGGGGTGGTGGTAGCTGCCGTAGTCGGTGTACTGCGCCGTGGCCGAGGCGGAGAAGTTCTGGTGGTTGAGTCCCGCGTGCCGCATGTGGTTGGAATACATGGCGACGTCTTTCTCCAGGAGGTAACTCACGTACATTGTCGTTGCCGCTCAGCTGGAACAACGCACATGCCTGCTGGCTCCTCCGACTCGACGCATCTGCTGGCCGCTTCTGTGCCCCCCCCTGCCTCCCTCCCTCCCCCCCACCTTGTACTCGGCGTGCCCGCGCGCCTCTCCGATCTTCTCCGGCGCAAGTCGCCGGGGCAAGGCGTGGAGGGGTCGCCCTGCCAAGTCACCGAATGAGCGGCGGGGCTGACGTCACGCAATCAGAGCGGCGTCAATCTCGCTGCGTCGCGGGGCTGTCTCGTGCCCCTTGTTACTATCACACACGCCAGTGCAACTCTTTACTCTTATACCTTCA